GTGGTTACTGGTTAGTTCACAGCCGTGGTTACTGGTTAGTTCACAGCTGTGGTTACTGGTTCACAGCCGTGGTTACTGGTTCACAGCCATGGTTACTGGTTAGGTTACTGGTTCACAGCCATGGTTACTGGTTAGTTCACAGCCGTGGTTACTGGTTAGTTCACTTTCATCGAGACAGGTGTTCTCTGAAAGCCTCCAGTTGTCACGTCCTTGCTGACTTACCCTGTAGGACGGAGGACAGCTGTCCTGTGGGGTCTCTTTCCTGAAGCAGGTTCTCTCGTCTTTGTCCAGTGGAACAGCCGATGGGGTCAAACCCCTGACTTTTCCATTAACAGCCCAGTGCATAATCCATTGCACCACCAGGGCTCCTCAGGTGTCCTCAGGAACCCTAAACAAAGGCATTGGGGGAGCCTGGCCTCTCTGGTTGAACCCCATTCTGCCCCTAGAGGGTGCCCTGGGGCAGCTCTGCTGAAGCCAGGGTTCCACAGAAGGCAGTTTGCAAACCTCTGTGCTGAAGGGACCAGCTCATGGCTCCAGTCACCCTGTCCTGTGCGCCCCCGGCCACATTCAGCTCACGCTCTGGGTGGACGCCCTGTGACACCACAAAGGAACTCATCTCCAGATGACTGAGCTAAATCTAGGCCCTGAGAAGAAAGCCCAAGTGGGCTCCTGGCTTGTCCCACTCAGGCCACCTGCACAGTACAGAGCCCGCTGTGGGGCTACCTCCCACCCCCCCAGGTGATGGGGCAGCCTGGGGGAACTGCGGTCCAGAGAGAGAACACATGAGCGGAAAATGCTGCCTCTGTGGGGACTTGTGATGGGGGAGCACCTGGGACCAGCGTCTCTGTTCTGCCCCTCGGCCTCTGGGACGGGGCCGTATAACGTGGTCCTCCCCAGCTCTGGGCAAGGAGGCTGTTCTCTGGTTTTACCAGTGGTGTCGCTGAGGCTCTGAGTCCAGATGCTGCCGCCACTCCTGATCTCTACTGTCCCAGCCCTTTTTCTAGCCTGGTCCTCAAGGAATGGGGGTCAGAGTCCTAGCCTGGGCCTGCAGACAGGGAACCAGGTGTGGAGACCTTTAGTCATGTCCCCGTGATCACGCCCCAAGGGAGGATGAAGTGGGCTTTGAACTTGAGCACGGATACCTCTAATTCCTTTGCTGCTTTGTGAACTGACTGAGGGTGGACAGAGGGCGTGGCGATGCAGGAGTTTGCATCAAGAAGTCTAGGTTCCTGGCCGGGGCAGTCAGCTGTTTCATTCTTTTTCAATACGATTTTAATGACTTTGATTTGTGGTAACGTGCATGTATCAAGATTGTTGTTATGTGCCATCAAGTCGACCTAGACTCATAGCGACCCTGTGAACAGCAGGTCTGAGGCCTGCCCTGTCCTGTGCCATTACCATTCCCAGCATACTTGAGTCTGTTGGTACGGTCACTGTGTTAGTCTGTCTTCTTATGAATCTTCCTATACTATGCTGACCCTACACCTTTCCGACCATAGTGTCCTTCTCCAAGAAACGTCCCCTCCTAACAAAATTCCACACTCCTTGGCCCTGGGGTACACTCTGGCTGCACTTTCTCCCAGACTTGTCTTGGCAGTGCCTGGGAGATTCAGTGCTCTTCTCCAACACCACGACTCAGAGGCACTGATCTTTCTGTCATCCTTGTTCATTTCCAATCTTGCAGATACATTGCAAGTGATTTAAAAGGCCTTGGCTTAAACGAAATAGTATACAGTTAAATACATGCATCTCTTCACCTTTGCAACCCAATCAGACTTGAGGTGGAAGGAAACACCCCTCTGCTTACACGGCCAGCTGTTTGTCCATTTGTCTCTCTCCTTCCCACACCTGGCACCACTCTGACCACCTCTGCCAACATCCCACTAACTCCAGAAGTGGACTGAATATTGACTAAGTGATGACCGGAGCCTCAGTGCCCCTGGGAAGACCTGAGCAGGTTAAGATGGGTGGAGCGAGCTTTCACACAGACTGAGGTCAAAGGCACCATTATCGCGGGTGTCGAGCTGTTCTCAGATCAGCCAGCGTGGTCTGGAACAGGTCTTTACCAAAGACTGGCCTTCCGTGCACCAGGCACATCACCCAGCCTCCTGAAGCTTCAGTGTCCCCAGTAGTCTTATACTATTTAATTCCATGTGAATCCTAATAAAATGTTCTCATACTATTTCATTTCATGTGAGCCCTAATAAAATGTTCTCATTCTCCCAAAGGCGGCCCTCAGAATCTGCCGTTTGGGTCTGTACTCAAGCAGAGATGAGGGGATAGCCTTGGAGGTGTGAGAGCTCAGGCTAGCAGGGGCCCCAGCCATCGCTGTCCAGCAGGCTGCCTGATGCCGTGACGGCCCACAGCTCCCCTGCCCAGTGGCCACACAGCCCTGCAAGGCGCCGTGCCCAGGGGACCTGCGTGCTGCCTTCTCAGTCAGGACTTCCTGCCTGTGTTCAGAGGCCCGCGTATCTGTGTGTGTGTCGTGAGCTGACGTCCACACTGGTGAGGTGGTGCGGCGGATAAAGCACAAGGCTCACTAATCGACTCTTTACCCTTCGTCCGCAGTGCAACCCTCCGCTAGAAGTTAATGATTTATTCGTTGATATACAAGATGGCAAAATCCTGATGGCTCTGTTAGAAGTTCTGTCTGGGCACGAACTGGTACGTATGACCTGGAGGGTGGGAAGGACCCTGAGGCAGAGGCACGAGGCTCCGGGAGGCTTCTCCCAGTCCGTGCAAACCCCGAAGTGCATGCCCCTCACACAGAGAATCCTGCAGGGATGGTGTCCTTTTATCATCAGCTGCCTTAGTCTTTGGAGACAAAGGTCCGCCTGATATAGGCCATGGTCTTTGCAATCGCTTGTTATGCATCAGAGAGTTGGACAATGACTAGGAAGGACAGAAGGAGAATTGACGCCTTTGAGCTCTGGTGCTGGAGAAGAGTACTGAATGTACCATGGACTGCCAAGAAAACAAACAGATTCATCCTGGAGAGGGTTAAACCAGGCTGCTCCTTGGAGGCAAGGATTCTGGGGCTCCGTCTGACATACTTTGGACATGTTACAAGGAGAGACAGGTCTTTGGAGAGGGACATCATGCTTGGGAGGGTGGAGGGACAGTGCAGGAGGGGAAGACCCTCTATGAGGTGGATTGATTCAGTGACTGGGGTAATCGGGATGGGTGTGTCAGAGGCAATGAGATTGGCACAGGACAGAGCAGGGTTTAGGGCTGTCGTACACAGGGTCACTATGAGTCGCAAACGACTCGACAGCACATGACAACAACAACAACAAAGCCTTAGTCCTTGGCCAGTTCTGATGGCGCGTGAGGCTCCAGGACTTCCAGTGCACCAACGACTCCTCAGGAGAAACGTGGACAGTCTCCACGGGGTAGGATTTAGAGTGCCAGAATCCCAGTATTGTTGTTAGGTGCCAACGAGTTGAGTACGACCCATTGTGACCCTGTGAACGGCAGATCTGAACTCTGTCCTCTCCTGTGCCATCCTCACAATCCCACTGTTGCGGTCAGCGTGTCAACACACCTGGTCTACGGTCTTCCTCTCCTTTGTCACCCCTCCACCTTCCCAAGCATGATGTTCCTCACCAAGGAGTGGTCCCTCCTAGTAACACGCCCAAAATATATGAGACGAAACTTCATCATCTTTACCTCCAAGGAGAACTCTGGCTGTACCTTCTCCAAGACATATCTATTTGTTCTTTTGGCGGTCCATGGAATAGTCAGGACTCTTCTCCAACACTGAATTTCAGTTCCTCTTCTGTTATCCGTAGTCATCGTTCAGGTCTCGGATGCCTAGTTGGTGACTGAAAAGACAATGACCTGAATCAGGCACACCTTAGTCCTCAAACTGACATCATTGCCCCTCAATAATTTGGAGAGGTCCCTAACTACAGACTTTCCCGGTGCCGCATGTCTCCTACTCTCCTGACTGCTGGTCTTAAGTGGATTGATTGTGGATCTAAGTAAGACTAAGTCGTTGATGGTCCTAATCTTTCTTCAACCATCATAGTGTTGCCTATTAGTCAGTGGAGAGGATTTTTGTTTTCTTGGCATTGAGACGCAATCCACATTGAAGACTGCAGTGTCTCACCTATGACAGTGTTTCCAGTCCTCCTTCCTCTTGGCAGGCAAGATTGTGTCATCTACAGAACGAAGGTTATTGATGAATCTTCCTCCAAATTTGAAGCCACGCTCTTCAGAGAGTTTTGTTTCTCAAATAATTTGCTCAAGATACGTTAATGATAACTGGTGATTGGAATGCAAAAGTTGCAAACAACGAAGAAGGAAGAGTGGTCGGAAAGTATGGTGACAGATGTGAGGTCAGAAATAGAGTGATCCAATATTGTATGTTCAATGATTGATTCATTACAAACACCTTTTTTTAAAAAAAACCCTATTATTATTAATTTTCATGAAAATGTACAGAGACTTTAGATTTCCATTCATTCGTTGTTGCACTTTTCTCCCTGCCCACCTCTCCCCCCTCCCCAGTTCACTCCTCTCTTTGAAAAGTAAAAGAAAAATTCTTTCATAGTTATACGGTCCCTCCCCCCAAGTCCACTCTACTATGCAGCCTTCGTTCTGGACTCCTGTCATGACAATAATACCTAAACACATATCCCTTTAAACAGTTCACAAACACTTTTAAGAAACACAAGCATGACTTTACACATGGACCTCACCATATGCACCACATAGGAATCAGATTGACTGCATGTGTGGAAGGAACTATTGGAGAAGCTCAATACCAGCGGTCAGGGGCAGACCAGGTACTGACAGCGGAACAGACCATCCACTGTTGTTGTGCAAGTTCAAATTGAAGCCGAAGGAAAGTGAAACAAGCCTCTGAGAAACAAAACAGGATCTTGAGTATATCCCATCTGAATTTAAAAATCATCTTTGGTTTGAACACCAGTGATTGAAGACCAGATGAATTGTGGGATGGCATCAAGGATGTTATTCATGAAGAGAGCACAAAAAGGTATCAGAAGAGACTTTGAAAATGACACTGATGCATCAAGAAGCCAAAGCAAAGGGAAGTGATGCTGAAATAACAGAGCTGAACAGATGATTTCAAAGGGTGAATCAACTTGTTAGTCAAATTTGTGTCTTCTAGGTTGCAACACCCCCATGATACATCTTCAAGAATATGAACATGTACAGCCAAGCACAATCAATAAGAGTGCATCTAAATTCCAAAATCAATCTCCATAATAGTCTATGTGTTTCCTACTGCCAAAGGGGCCCTTTAGAGTAGTGAGAGAAGATCTTCACCCTGAAACCCACAGCGTCCCTTTTCAGCAGGAAGTAGCTAAGAGAATACGCCGTCCCCTTTTCCTTATGACTCAGGGTGAAGTCTCTCTCAGGGAGGAGTGATAGGGAATGGCAAAGGACACACTGACAAAGAAGATTAATCAGAACTGGCTTTGACAAGCACAGTGGCATTTGGACAAGAACAAACTGGGAGGAGGGTAGAGAGAATAGTGCAACAATGAATGAGTGGAAGCCCAAAATCTCTGTAAATGTTTATGAAAATTAATAAAATATAATTATAGAGAAAAAAAAAGAAAGACAAAGAAAACTACTATAATGGAATGCACAGAGACCTAGAATCAGAGAATAGAAAAGGAAGAACTCACTCAGCAATTCTCCAGTGGAATGAACTGAAAAACAAACTCAAGCCTTGAGTTGTAATACTTAAGGAAAGTGTGGGCAAAATCTTGAATGATCCAGGAAACATCACAAGAAGATGAAGTATACAGAGTGACTATGCTGAAAATAATTGTCTGGCACTGAAATATTTTACAAAGTACCATATGATCAAAAGCCAGTGGTAATGAAGGAAGAAGTTCAAACTGCATTAAAGGCACTGGCAAAAATAAGGCCCTAGGAATTGATGGGATCCCATTTGAATTGTTTCAGATGACAGCAGCATCCCTAGAAGTGCTCACCAGTCTATGCCAGAAAATTAGAGGACAAGTGCCCGGCCAACTGGCTGGATGAGAGCCATGTTTGTTCCCATTCCCTAGAAACGTGATTCAACAGAATGTGGAAATTATTGAACGGTACCATTAACAGCTCCTGCAAGCGAAATACTGCTGAGGAGCAGTCAAAAACAGCTAGAGCGTTGTATAGAGAACTCTCAGACTTTCAGGAGGATTTAGAAAGAAGCAGTGGCACCAGGGATATCATTGTTCATACCAGATGGATCTCGCCTGAAAGCAGAAAATACAAGGGAAATGTCTATTCGTGCTTTATTGACTGTGCAAAGGAATTTGACTGTGTGGATCATAACAAATTATGGCTGACATTGAGAAGAAAGGGAATTCTAGAACATTTAATTGTGCTCATGTGAAACCTATACCTCGACCAGGAGGAGGCTGTCATGCAGACAGCGCAAGAGACCACTACATGGTTTAAGATTAGCAAAGATGAGCGTCGGGGTTATATCCTTTCTCCATCCTTTCCAGAAACCCGATGGAGGGTCACTGAGTCAGAAGCGACTCAGAGGTGATGAGTTTCAAGTTGGAAAAGTCAAAGAAGGAGCTCTGGTGATGCTGTGGTTCGAGCGTTCAACTGGTAATCCAGCATCCTAGGTTCAAGCCATTTCTTGAGAGAAAGACTTGACAGTTTGCTCCATAAAGATGATTGCTGGGAGCCTCCAAGTCGACTTGAAGTCCGTGTCTTTGAGTGACTCATAGGGACCCTGTGTGCAGCTTGCCCTGTCCTGTGCCGTCCTCGCATCCTCTGCAGTGCTGAAGCCCACTGTTGCTGTCACCGTGTTGACACATTCCTTTGAGGGTCTTCCTTTTCCTCTCATATCCTTTACTTTTCCAAACGTGATGTCTTCTTCCAAGGACAGCTCCTCTTGAAAACCCACTCCCAGCATATGAGATGTCCCATCCTTGCCTCTAGGAGCCCTCTAGCCTCACCTCTTCCTAGACCATCAAGAGTACAGTCTTAGGGAGCGCTGGTGGCCTAGTGGCAAGAAGCTGCACTGAAATCCCAGAGGTACACGGTTCAAATCCACCAGATGCTCTGCTGAAGGAGGGGCAATCTCTTCCTGTACCAGTCAGATCCGATTTGACGATACATACACGCAAAATAATAATTTTTTTAAATTTTCTTTTTTAAAAAAGAGCACAGTCTTAGAACCCTGAGGGGTAGTTCTGCGCTGTCATGTTGGCTGACTGAGTCAGCAGCAACTCAAGTGTGGTGGGTTTGAGGTTTTGACCAGTGATAGGATTATGTGTTGCTAAGCACTGGCTTTGTTTTGAAGTGCATATGCCAAGAAATCTGGAGGACAACTACCTGGCCGACTGGACTGGAAGAGATTCATATTTATTCTCATTCCAAAAATAGAGTGACCCCAAAATGTGAAAGTTATTGAACAATATTACTAATAATGTCACATGCAAGCAAAAGTCATCTGATAATTATCCACAAACAACTAAAACAGGGCCTTGACAGAGAACTACTATATAAGCTGGGTTTAGAAGAGGTTGTGGTACGAGAGACGTTATCTACAAAGTCAGATGGATCTTGGCAGAAAGCAAAGAGTATCAGGAATGTCTCTCTTTGTTTCATTGACTATGCAAATGCATTTGACTGTGTGGATCACAACAAATTGTGGCTAACCTTGAGGAGAATGAGAATCCCAGAACACTTGATTGTGCTCATGCGAAACCTATACTTGGACCAGGAAGCAGACTTCAGAACAGAGCAAGGAAATACTGCATGGCTCAAAATCACGAAGGGAATGTATCAGGGATGCGTCCTGTTGCCATACCTTTTTAATCTGTATGCAGAACAGATCATTCGGGAGGCTGGGCTTTATGAGAAGGAATGAATGTGGCATTAGGGTTGGAGGAAGACTGATCAATAACCTGTGTTATGCAGATGACACAGCCTTGCTTGCTGAAACTGAGGAGGACATGAACCACTTGCTGTAAAAGATCAGGGACTGTAGTCTTCAATATGAGTTAAAGTGCAACATCAAGAAGACAGATCTTCACCACTGGGCCAATTGGCAGCACCATGATGGATGGAGAAGAGATTGAGGTTATTAACAATTACAGCTTGCTCATCTCCACAACCAATACTCTTGGCACCAGCAGTCAGGAAATCAAAAGACAAATTGCACAGGGAAAATCTGCTGTCAGGACCTCACAGGAGTATTGAAAAGCATTGATGTCAGTCTAGAGACAAAGGTGCACCTGATCCAGGCCATGGTCTTCTCAGTTAATTGCTATGCATCAGAGAGCTGGACAGTGACAAAGGATGACAGGAGAAAAATTGATGCTTTTGAATTATGGTGCTGGAGAAGAGTCTTGAACATACCACGGACTGCCAAGAAAACAAATAGGTTTGTTTTGGAGAGGGTGAAACCAAGTTTCTCCTTGGAGGCTAAGATTTTGAAGCTCCATCTCACAAACTTTAGGGCACGTGACCAGGAGGGACTGGTCCTTGGAGAAAGATGTCATGCTTGGAAGGGTAGAGGGCCAGTGCAGGCGAGGAAGACCCTGAATGAGATGGATTGATACAGTAACTAGGGTAAAAGAGGTAGGTGTGTCGTACTTCATGAGACAGGCTCAGGACAGAGCAGGCTTCAGAGCTGTTGTAATAGGGTCTCTATGAGTCGCAGGCGACTTGACAGTTTGTAACATGTTTTAGTTACAGTTCATTGCCTTTGCGTCAAGTCCAGTCATAGTGACCCCGTGAAAACAGACCTGAACCCTGTCCTGTCCTGTGTCGTCCTCACAATCTGTGACACTCTTAAGCCCATTGCTGCAGTCACTGTCTCAGTCCACCTGGTTAAGGGTCTTCCTCTCCTTCACTGTCACTCCAGATGGCATGGACGGGATGTAGATAAAACACTTCGATGTATAAAAACATATAAAACCTTAATTCTGGATTCCATTAAGGTTGCATAGAGAAGTGTACTTGGGGTGGGGGGTGGGGGGAAGGGACGTGGGAATTGTATACTAATGAAGGAATTTTTTTTTCTCTTTTCGGAGGGGGAAGCGAGCTGGTGGGGAGGGGTGGGCAGGGAGAAAATTGCGGCAATGAATGAATGGAAATCCAAAACCTCTGTAAAAAAATAAATTAAAAAAATTAGAAATTAAAAAAAACAACATATAAAGCACAACTCTCCAAAATAGGATGTATTTTAGTGAGGCAGTAAATAAATGCCCCATGTTTTCTACAGTTCTGTTGAGGCTGGATGGGGGCTCTCGTAACGGGGTCCGTAGCACATTGCGCTGCTGACGCAAAGCTTGTACCTCTCCGGCTGTTCACACGCGGGAGGAAGACGGGCGCCTCCTCCCCCGTGTGTTACAGTCCCCCATGTGGGAGGTCGGGCAGTCAGTCCAGACTGTTTCTATGACCATGCAGCAGGGAGTCTCAGCCGGGGTCAGGTTAGTGCTGGGGTCACTGCTGGCTCGCCCGTGCAGCAGAGAGGCTCAGCCGGGGCCCTGTTGGCATTGAGGTCACCTCTGGCCTGCCATCCGCTAGATGACCAGTAGCACCCCAGGGATATTTTCTTTATAGTGGGTTTCTAATGACCCAACAGCGCAGTCTTCCAGAGTCTTCTTGGAAAAGCATATTCTAGGTGTTTGTCTGTTGAGAGCTCTGATGGCTTAGCAGTAAAGAGCTGTGTAAGGAAAGGAGCACGGTTCAAATCCACCAGCCGCTCCATGGGGAAAAGATGGGAGATCTCCTCTGTGCAGTTTTACTGCCTCTGAAAGCCAGTTAGAGGGTCTGCTGTGGGTTGATTCTGACTCGTTGGTACACACAACAGGTGTCTGTGGTCCCACTCACTGGCTCCCCTTGGTAGTCCCAGGTAGGCCTCGGTGGGAGTCTTTGACACTCCAGGTGGTACATTGAGGGTGGTGAGGCCTCCCAGCCGGCAGAAACGGTCCAGGTTTACGATCACCTTGCTAGTCTACACCTGCTGGAATATTCCCCAGTTATTTTCTTCTTCCACCAGCAGAGCAGTGAGGAGCTTCAGCTGAGGGTAAATTAGATCCCTGGAGGCATGGGTGGCGTGCACTCCAAGACTAGCCTAAAGGTTGAAAGTTCAAACTCACCTGGCAGTGCCTTGGAAGAAAGGCCTGGCAATCAACTTCTGTAAAGATTGCCCCAAACCAAACCAGAGCCCCCATACTTTGAGGTTATTATGTACATTTACGTATCCTCTAGGGAGTTTTCAGGGGCAGTAAATCACAAGCGAGGAGATTGCCCGTGTTTCTTCCAAGGAACAGCTGGTGGATTTGAACTGCATGCCTTTAGGTTGGCAGTGCAGCTCCTTACCACTCAGCCACCAGAGTTCCCCACTGTTCTCTTGTCAGTGCCAACTCCTGGTGACCCTCCTTCAGGTTCCCAGGACTATAAACCTCTGCGGAAGGAAACTCTCCATCTTTCTGAGACTGCAGGGCAGCTGGTGGATTCAAACCACCGACCTTCCAGTTAGCAGCCCATTTCTGCTGACCCTCGGAGCAAGCCTCCTCTGACAGACACATCGTGGCGGCTTGGGATCACTGACGATTCTCTGGCTGTAGAATGGATGGGCGCGGACTACTGGCTTCAGAGAGCAGCTCTTCCTGTGTTTTATTTTTCCTTTTCTGACCTGAGATAACTGTGCACAGAGCTCTTGTCTGGAAAACAGAAACATCTGCGGCCATCAGGGAGGGCTTGGCTGGTGATTTAGAAGCTGAGAGGTGACGCTGACAGTGATGTCCCTTCTGTTCAGAGCCTACAGGTCTCTAGGGGAGGGAAGGAGTATAAACAGCCAGGAGCGAGGCCAGTGAGGAAATTTTGACAAATTTGCCCCTCATTTAACCCACTTTACTTCTCTCCAGTTACCAGCTTAAGGGAGAGCTGAGCTCCCAGGTATCGTAAATAAGGTGTGCCCTGGGCCCTGTGATGTTCCATGTGTCCTGGGACGTCCTGTGGCTTGGATGCTGTCCAGACGGGCTTAGCATGAGCCCTTGTCTTCATCTTGAAATTTACTTGAAAAAGGAAGATGTAACCAGTGGGTTTTAAAGTGTCTGTGTTTAATTCCACCACCACCTGCCATCCGTGGAGACTTGTGTGCCTCTGTGATACTGAAAGGGTTTCAGAGGCACTTCCAGGGAGACTAGGAAGAAAGGCCTGGTGATTAACTTCCAAATACCAGCCAGTTAAACCCTATAGATCACATCAGAGCAACAGCTGGTCCTGGGGACAGGGGAAGGGCCAGGCGTTTGGTCATTTGGTCACTACCCCTATGCAGGCTGGACTCAGGGTCAGACAACAGCCACACACATTGGCTTTATTTGTTTGTTTTTGTTTTACAGCTGCATGAATACAAATCCTCATCCCATCGTATTTTTCGGTTGAACAACATAGCGAAGGCCCTTAAGTTTTTGGAAGATAGCAATGTAAGTGTTTGAAGCACACCTTGTTTCTATGAGCTGTGTTTTCAGGTTCGCTTTATGAAAGGGATGTAGTTTGGTGTTGAATACTGATCACAAGGGTGTTGTGGTAAAATAGTCCAGTTAACCTTTATGTAGATGAAGGGAAGTGGCTGAGGAGACAGGGTGCTGGCTCTGGACGCTCCTACCTGCTTTGGCTCCGCCCACCCGTCCTGACTCCACCCACTCTGGCTCCGCCCACCGTCCTGACTCCGCCCACACATCGTGACTCCACCCACCTGTTCTCACTCCACCCATCCTCTGAATCTTCCCACCCACTTTGGTGTTTCACCAGATTAACAGCTCAGTGCACATCTGACCACAGAAGAATGAACTCTCTAATATTTTGTTCTTCCTGTACAATTTACTGCCTCTGAAGACCCGCTGGACACACAACAGCAACAAAAGAATCCAGTTGGTCCTTTCTTTTCCATTCCTTTGACTAAGAGGACTGTGGATGGATCCCTGTGTCCCACTTCCACCTGGAAGGCAGAGCATGAGAAGTAAACTGGGGGGGTGCTCAGGAAGCTGACTAAACCTGGGATGGGGTGAATTCTAGAACTTTCCCCGTTTGCTCTGATTTTCTACACCTGGATCAGGTAGTTCTCTGTGTCCTGCACAAAGAGACGGGTTGAGATTTGCAGAGCTCTTCTTTCGTGAACCACAAACCTCCCCCTTCCGTGGTTCCAGCTCACAGCACATAGCAGCTGTCCCTCAGGTTTGCAGACAGTAGATCTCTGCAGGAACAGACAACGCATTTCTCTCCTCTGGAGTAACTGGTGCATTTGAACTGTCTTCCTCTTAATTAGCAGCTCAGCACATTAAACATTACACTGCATGGTTCAAAATCAGGAAGGAAGTATGTCAGGGATGTGCAGAAGAGATCACTGGGGGGCTGGGCTTTATGAGGAGCAGTGTGGCAGCAGGATTGGAGGAAAACTCATCAGCGACTTGCCTTATGCAGATGACACAACTTTGCTTTCCAAAAGTGAGGAGGACCTGAAGGGTTTGCTCCACATGGTCAAGGACTGTAGTCTTCAATATGGATTGAAGCTCAATATCAAGAAGACAAAGATTCTCACCACTGGGCCAATTGGAAGCACCATGATAGATGAAGAAAAAATTGAGGTTGTTAACAATTTCATCTTTCTCAGCTCCACAGGCAACACTCTTGGCACCAGCAGTCAAAATAAAAAACCAGGAAGTCACAAGACAGATTGTACTGGGGAAGTCTGTTGTCGGGGACCTCTCATAGAGTGCTAAAGAGCAATAATGTCAGTCTAGAGACCAGGGTGTGCCTAATCCAGGCCATGGTCTTCACAATTACTTGCTATGCATCAGAGAGCTGGACATTGACTAGGGATGACAGAAGAAGAATCAATGCCTTTGAGTTGTGGTGCTGGCAAAGAGTCTTGAACATACTATGGACTGCCAAGAGAACAAACAGATCTATCTTGGAGAGGGTAAAACCGAGTTTCTCCTTGGAGGCAAGAATTTTGAAGCTCCATCTCATATACTTTGGACTTAAAGCCAGGAGGGACCGCCATGTAGGACATCATGCTTGGAAGGGTGGAGGGACAGTGCAGGAGGGGAAGGTGAGGTGAGATGAGGTGACATGGTGACTGGAGCAGTGGAGTTAGGTGTGTCAGTGAGACTGGTTTAGGACAGGACAGGGTTCAGAGCTGTACAAAGGATTGCTATTAGTCGTGGGCAACTCAGTGGCACATAACAACAGCAGCTACACTCTAAGGCTTATCCTCTGGTCAACCCCACATCTTTCCTGATTGGTTGCACAGCCCCCCTGTAGAGTGTGAGTCTCCCTGGGGTTGTTAGCGATGAGCTTAGAAACTGACCTCACCTGATGGAAACAAGAGAAATTTGTTGGAAAGATGTTGAGAGCAGTTCACAGAAGGACCACCAGAGAGCCCTGTGCCTGGGGACGGTGTGGATGCTGTCATGGCACGTTGATGCTGTCCCATTAGATGGACATCACTGCTACCATCACTACTGCTGGCGTGACTTGGTCACACCATGTTCCACATGCGACCCTGGGTGTCTGGCTTAAAGCCCATGGCCCAAGTGATAGCGGCAGGGAGAACATTCCATGGCCTTTCAGCTTCTGAGAGAGTCAGCTCTGCCTCCCAATAGCCTTGCACTGGGGAGACTCAAGTGTAAAAAAGAGGGGTTCAGATGGGTGGTGGTCAAATAGCACAGCACATGGCCTCTTCTCTAGAGCCATCACACCACTGTCCAGCTCTGACGTGGAGGTAATGGGTTCAAGACCTGATGCTCTGCCTTGGCTGATTCCTACTGTCTCCCAGAGAACTTCAAGGAAGCTGGCACCTCAGCTGCCGCATCTCCCAAGTGGAGGTGGCAATAACAAAAGGAATCCCTGGGGGTGCTGACAGTCACGCTCTCAGCTGCTCACCAGAGGCCTGGAGGCTGGGGTCTACCTCGAGGTGTGTCAGAAGAAAGCCCTGGCAATCTGCTATTGAAAAAAACTCCACTCTGAAAGCCCTGTGGAGCGCAGCTGCCCTTGTGCAGGTGGGATCTGAGTGAGGTCAGGGAAGGGTCCCCCAGGAGCTGGTGCAGGGCCAGGACTCCACCCTCATTGTCCAGTTGCTCACAGCCAGCACTTCTTTTTTTTTTTTGTATAATCAATGATTTATTCATTGTAAATACTTTTTTTAAATTTTATTTTAATAATTTTAATGAACATTTACAGAGATTTTGGATTTGCATTCATTCATTGTTGCACTTTTCTCCCTGCCCAGCCCTGCCCCCCTGCTCCCCCTCTCCCAGGTTCGCTCCTCTCTTTGAAAAAGTAAAAGAAAAATTCTTTCTTTGGTATACAATCCCCCCTCACCCCTCCCACCGCCCCAGGTACACTCCACTATGCACCCTTAATTCTGGACTCTTGTAATAACTGTAATACCCTATCATATATCACTTTTAATTTATTCTCTCCCTCATTTGTTTCAATGCAGTATACTTAATTTACCCAGTTTTTCTCGGTCTTACCCAAACCCTGATATCAGTCCCATTTTACAGCAGTGGCACCATGCAGTATTTGTCATTTTGTGACTGAGATATTTCACTCAGCATAATGTCCTCCAGGGTCACCCATTTTGAAGAATATTGCATGAGTTCCTTGTTTTTCAATGCAGCGTAGTATTCCATTGTGTAAATAAATATACCACAGCTTCTCTATCCATTCGTTTGTGGTTTTTTCCCTTTTTTTAAATTATTATTAAATTTTATTAGTTTTAATGAACATTTACAGAGATTTTGGGTTTTCATTCATTCACTGTTGCACTGTTTTCTCCACCCTCCTCCCCAGTTCGTTCTTCTTCTACCCCCGTCTGAATGTCTGTTTTAATTGTCCAATTGCCATAGTGCTTGTCAAAGCCAGTTCTGATTAATCTCCTTTGTCAGTGTGTCCTTTGCCATTCCCTATCACTCCTCCCTGAGAGAGACTTCACCCTGATTCATAAGGAAAAGGGGATGGCGTATTCTCTTAGCTACTTCCTGCTGAAAAGGGACGCTGCGGGTACAGCCAGCACTTCTGAGCCCGTCTCTTCCATGGTTCTTTGCACAGTGTCACCCTGAATTCCAAGTGGCGCAGTCTCTGTGCCTGATGTCCTTCCTGCCTCTGAGCACACCTCTGCTCTGTTCCCACTCCGTGTTGAGGGAGCTGTGAACGCAGGGACCCTCAGCTGTGTCGTGGGGACATCCCACAGCCCTAAGTGGCGTTCAGCACCACTCAGCGTGTTTTCTGGTGTCCCCGTGGTGCTGGGCTCTGCTCCCCTAACAGGGGTATATCTGTTAGCACAGTGCGTCTGTGCCCTCAGAGGCACATGGCTGAGTGACGCAGTCCACACAGGCCCCAGGAGGAGCCGGGGTCCTGCAGGGACAGACAGCTGAGCCTGGGTTGAGGGACTCAGAAGGGCCTTCCAGGTAGGGGCTGGTACGTGTGCTGGGATGGAGAACTAGAAAGTCAGGCCTGGTCAGCGTGCAGAGACAGCTCTGGGATTGCCACTGAATGCTGTTCCAGCACTTTCCAAATTGTCTGTAGAAGCGACCTTTGAACCACAGGAACACTTCCTCTTGCCTCCTTTCAAAATCTGATAGGATTCCCAGTGTGGGCATAGCCTGTCAGCTTAGTGCCCCACTTTACCCCATTTGCCATACAGGTAGGAGAGGTAAATAGCCCGAATGGAGGTGAGCACAGGTGACTGAGACAGGGGGAGACGCGGGCTCGAATCCACAGAGCACTTCCATATGCCCTTGCTGGCTTCTGCCAACATCTCTGTCCCAGACGACAGCCAATAGCAGGGCCCAGGTCAGATTACCTGGTCCGAGTGAGCACCAGGAAGGGTCAGTGGCGGCCACCCTCTCTCTGCCCCAGGGCTCCAGTGATGTCCGGCTGCTGCAGGGCTGCTCTGTGCTCCCCCAAACCATATCCCACAGAACATAGTGCTGCCCTCAGGGCAGACTCCTCCTCCTGCCCCACATACCCAGCTCGAGACTCAGTCTCGGCTTCCCCGTCTGTGAAATGGGCATAGCTGGGCCTCTCCTATGGGACATCTGTGGACATCAGACGGACTCCACCCATGAAAGCCACAGGGGACCTGTGTCATGGTGACCACTGGTGGCTCTTCCACCATCCGAGAGGCAGCTGCCGGGAAGGAAGCAGCAGTGTTTCAGCAAGCAGCTGTCCACTAGTTGACGGTCCAGCAGAGCCATCAGAGAGAGGAAGAAGACACCACAGCTCAAAGGCGTCAATTCTTTTTCTGTCATCCTTAGTCATCGTCAAACTCTCAAGATCGGAAAGACTGGAAAGGGAATTCAAGAATATACTTTCTTAGTCTGGGGCTTTGTTTTAGCCTTCTTGTTACCCAGCATGTATGTGTCCATAACCTGATGACTTCATTTTCTTTGGTGTTCCAATTTTCCGTGGACTTTAATGCTTCCATGACTGGATTGTTTTCTTCTTTGGTGGTTTTGGGGGAGAGAGAGAGAGAGAGAGTGTGTGTGTGTGTGTGTGTGTGTGTGTGTGTGTGATGTGTGGTTGATTCTGCACTACCATATGTTTTCTATAATGGAAGGCTTGCTGAAATCAAGGAGGGAAATGCTGAGATAATACGGATTTGGGGTACATTGACAGGGCGCACGTTTGCCCCCTGTGGAACTTGGCTGTGGCATTGGTGGGGTTTCTTTGGATCTGCAGTCATTGCAGTGTGATAACAGGGACAGCAGGTTCCCCAAACACCCAGGGGCCTGAGAATGTTGTTGGACAATGAAGGGGTTAAAGTTCTAGAAAGCAAAGGTGTCATTTTGATGGCCAAGGTGCAACTTAGCCCATACCTTGATCTTTGCTGTCACTTCATATGCTTCTAAAAGCTGGGCAATGGAGAAGGAAGACAGAAACAGAGTTGATGCGTTTGAATTATCGCCTTGGCCAAGCATACTGAATGTGCTGTGGATTTCCAGAAGAACAAACAAATCAGACTCAGAAGAAATAAAGACAGAAAGCGTCTTGGGTCTTGGTGAGGGTGGCTAAAGTTTTTCTGGCTGACTGCGGACATTGTGCAAATAACAAAATCTGACTTAACATCGAAAAGCATCGGAACCCCAGATCACTTAATTCTGCTCAGGCAAAACTCATTCATAGAGTCCGCCAGCAGCTCTGAGGCAGAGAGATAGATGGTCTCCTCTCTCAATGATCGTTTGCAGCCTTGGAAGCCCAGTGAGAGGTCTCCACGAGTTAGAACTGACACAGTGGCAGTGGAGAAGGTGAAAAACAACAGGAGACACACACACACCTTCACGCTGTCAACCGTGGAGATCAGAAGGGCAGCCTTTCCCCAAAACAAAGTTCAGAAGATAGAAGGAGTTAGGGAGGGGAGTGGGAGGGATAAGGGAAAGACAGGAGCGAAGTGGTGATGGTATGAGGTGGGGACTGGAATCGAATCATGAAACAAAGACGGCTGTGGATTATTGAAGGGAAAACTGGTCTGCTCTGTGAACCTTCACACAGTTCACAATCAAATGATTTTTTAATTTTTTTAAATTTCTTTTTTTAATATTAATTTTGATAAAAATTTACAGAGACTTTGGATTTCCATTCATTCACTGTTGCACTTTTCTCCCCTCCCAACCCTTCCCCCCCACCCCAGTACACTCTCCTCTTGGAAAAGTAAAAGAAAAATTCTTTCACTGTTTTACAATCCCTCCCCCAGGTCCACTCCACTGTGCAGCCTTCACTCTGGACTCCTGTCATGACAATAATACCTAATCACATATCCCTTTTAAACAGTTTTCTCCCTCATCTGGTTCAATGCTGTATACATTATTGAACCCATCTTTCTCAGTCTCCCCCCAACCCTGATGTCAGTCCTCTTTTACAATAGTGGCACCATGCAGTATTTGTCCTTTTGTGACTGAGATTCTTCACTCAGCATAATGTCCTCCAGGCTCACTCATTTTGAATAATATTGCATGAGTCCCTTGTTTTTCAATTCAGTGTAGTATTCCATTGTGTGAATATACCACAGCTTCTCTATCCATTCCTTTGTTGATGGGAACTTAGATTGTTTTCAACTTTTGGCTATTGTCGACAAAGCCACGGTAAATATGGGTGTGCATAAAATTAATTTTTAAACATGCATTTTTGCGCTTGGTGAGAGGTGGCCTTGCGTGGACAATGTCAGAAGTACTGGCTCAAGATGAATTTAGAGGCTGCAGCCGGTGAGGGCTCCGAGCAGAGCAGGTCCCAGGCTTGGCACCTCCTCTGAGCCGATGACTTAACATTTTTTTTGCAGGTGAAGCTGGTGAGCATCGATGCAGCGGAAATAGCAGACGGCAACCCCTCTTTGGTTCTTGGCCTGATATGGAACATAATCCTCTTCTTCCAGGTAAAATTCGCTTCCTCTCTGTAATTCACACAGGAAGGGGCTTCCTCCAACTGCTTCCTGCAGACTGTGAAGTGAGAGCAAGGGGCAGAGTGAGCTTTCATTTCTGTTGTGTTTTCATTCTTTGGGTTACGGGGCGGGGGGAGGGGGGAGGGAGATCTGGAGGAGTTTGCTGAAAGCATTCGAGTCTCAGTAACTTGCAGCAGCGCTGTAGATTAAGCATTGCGTTGGACGCTGAAAGGTCAGCAGTTCTCACCCACCAGCAGCTCTGTAGCAGAAATGCCAGTCGGTCCCAGAAAGACAACATTGTGGAAACCTTCTGAAGCGGCTCTGCTCTGTCCTGCAGGGTCTCCATGACGCACAGTCAAATCAGAGGCAGTGGGTCTGGTTACATTTTGTCTTGTTTTTTCCAGATGACTTTAAAAGTGATGTGGGTTCCATGCTCAGAAAAGTGTACCATCCTCTTGGGTCTTGAGTTAAATGAACATTAGGTCTTTGTATGTACGTAGTGCACCCTGGTGTTGTTGTGTGTCCTGTCGAATCAAAGCAGATTCACAGCTCATCCTCTAGCGGGATTTCAGAGGCGGTTAATCACACAGGAGGAGGTCACCTGTCTCCCATGGAGCAGCTGGTAGATTTGAACTGCATGCCTTTGGTAGGGCAGTGCAACTCCTTACCCACTAGGCCACCAAAGAATGGCTTCTTGTTGTTTTACAACCGTGAGTTGGAAGCAACTCATAGTTGACCCTCTGGCGAGTTTTCGAGGCAGTAAATCTCACAGAAAGAGATTGCCCATCCTTCTTCTGTCGAGCAGCTGGTAGATTTGAACCACATGCCCTTGGGATTGCAGCAGAGGTTCTTAGCACTCGGCCACCAGAGCTACCTTGGTGTTGTTGATTGCCTTCAAGTCGAGCACGACTCATAGCGACCCTATGAACAAAAGGCCTGAAGCCCCTCTGCGACTATCAACATTTATCAAAGTTTATAGAGTGTCCAGAGGCAGGTGCTTTAGGAAGTGGATGCCTCTCCTGCTCCCTGGTGGCAAGTAATTGCCAGAGGCCGGTGATTGGCATCCTCCCGCGGCTCTGGGATAAAGACGGGCAGTGTCCCCCTGCTGCAGGGTCTGCCCTGAGTCGGCTCCAGCTCCACACACTGAGCGTAATGAGTTAGGGGACTTCTGTCTTGAAAGGCAGATCCTGAAGGCGTAGGTCTGAGGCAGGGCCTGGTGGTCTGCATTTTGCACGATCACCCCTACAACAGAAGCCGTGTTTGAGGAGCAAGGGAGAGACATGCAGGCCACAGAGCAGCTTGAGCAGAGGCCAGCTGCCAAGTGGTGAGCGGGGTGGGATGTGTTTGGTACCCGCCTGGCCAGAGCTAGTTGGCTGCAAGAGAGACCACCTTGTGAAGTTTCGCTGCACACAGTGCAAGCTGCTTGGATGACTAGGCCATCACTGATCTCATGCAGACCCCCTGATACCAGACCTTCACTGACTCCTATGCTGGCCCCCTGACATTGGACCATCACTGACTCCCATGCTGGCCCCCTGACCCCTGGGCCCTTACTGATCCCATACAAGCCCCCAACATACTCAGCCATTAAGCAATCACTGACCCTGTGCAGGCCTTAAACACACCTGACCATCAGGCCATCACCAACCCCGTGCAGGCTCCCTGACCCTGGGCTATCACTGACCTCATGCAAGCCCCCAATACACCCAGCCATCAGGCCATCACTCCCCCTATGCAGGCCCCCAACACACCCAGCCATCGGGACAGGCCCCCAGGACACCTGACCATCAGGCCTTCCCCCATACAGGCCCCAACACAGCCAGCCATTGGGCCATCACTCCCCCCGTGCAGGCCCCCTGACAGTGGCCATCAGGCAGGCCTCCTGACACACCTGGCCTTCAGGCTATCACTCCTCCCATGTAGGCCCCCAACACACCCAGCCATTGGGCCATCACTCCCCCCATGCAGGCCCCCTGACAGTGGCCATCAGGCAGGCCTCCTGACACACCTGACCATCAGGCCATCACTCCCCCCCCATGCAGCCCTCCTGACACTGGCCATCAGGAAGAGTCTCTCCCACTCCGGTCAGCACGCAGCCCTGGGTCTAACGTGCCGTTTCCCTTGCAGATTAAGGAGCTCACGGGCAGCCTCAGCAGGAACTCTCCATCTTCCAGCCTGTCCCCTGGCTCGGGGGGCACAGACTCGGACTCCTCATTCCCACCCACGCCCACCACAGAGAGGAGCGAGGCGCTGACCCTCAAAGACCAGAGGAAGGCCATCAAGACCCTGCTGGCATGGGTACAGAGGAAGACGAGGAAGTGAGCCCCTGACCACTGCTTACTGAGCTGGGCTGACGCAGGGAGGGTCACCCTTTCCTGGGGTGGGCAGAGAAAAGGGGACAGGACACTTGTCATGGTGTGTCTGAAGAGGGGGAAATGGGACATAAGGACACAGGGCCATGAGCATCTCTCAGAAAGGGTCAGAGGGAGTAAGAATAGCACAGCCTCTCACTGCCCCAGAGCAGAAAACAGATCAGAAGCCCACAGCCCAGCCCCATGGTGCCCGTAATAGCAAGAGGTTCTTTTATCTTTTCTTTTATTTTAATTTTATTATTTTTGTGTATGTGTGTGTACTGTCAAGTCGGATCTGACTGGTATAGGAGGAGATTGTCCCTCCTTCTCCAGCTAAGCTTCTGGTGGATTTGAACCATGTACCTCTGGGATTGCAGTGCAGCTTCTTGCCACTAGGCCACCAGAGTTCCCAGCAAGAGGTTCTTTTATAGGTTACTGGCTCACAGACTCACAGTTACAGTACCAATAATGGGGTTTATTAGGGAAGGAAGTTGGAGAGTGAGGGAGGCAAAGAATATCACCCAAAATAAGTACAAGTTTTAACCCAACAGTTCAAAGCACAGCTCCTCAGTTAGTCCAGGCTCTGGTGTCAGTTCAGCAAGTAGCTTTCTCTTCCATTATCAAAGGCAAGAACAGCAGGAAACTTTGTGTCCAGCACACAAATGTGAGCAGCCGCAGGTTATACCTTGCCACGGTTTCTGCACCAGGGAGAATGCCAAGCTCTCCACCACCACAGTCTCACTCTCACCAGGGTCTTGCTGCCTCAAGCCTTTCTCATCTCAGGTCTTGCTGTTCAGGGTGGAAAGCACTCTTTCACTTATCTGAGTCCCACAGCTGGTGCTGATTTGCAAGTCTATGTGTCTACAGTTAAGGTTGCTGGAGACCAGAGGCTAAATGTCTGGAAAACCCCCCAGTGTCGACATTCAGTCATTTCTCCTTGTTTCACATGGCAGCAAATGTGTATGTTTGGTGGAACTTCTCTCCCAGCATATTCAACATTCCCGGTCAAGAACAGTTCATGGCAGAGCACCTCTCAGCAGGTGTTATGTCCAGTTTTGTCAGTTATGTTTGTAAAGTTGTCACGGGAAGGTACGGGCCATCACTTGGTGCATCAGGCATGACCATGACTCTGCTGGCCGCTGTCTGCACCAAGATCCCGGAAGGGAAGCTGGCCATCATCTTCCTGCCCATGTTCACGGTCACAGCCAGGAACGCCCTCAAAGCCATCATTGCCACGGACACGGCTGGCATGGTCCTGGGATGAAGGGTTTTCGATCATGTGACGCATCTTGGGGAAACTCTCTCTGGAATATGGTACATTACGTGTGGTCATGAACTCATTTGGAAGAACAGGGAGCCTCTGGTGAAAAAAAAATTGACATGAAATGAGGACTAAAGACCCCAGAAAAGGAGATGGCTCTAAGTGAAAGCAGGATTGGACGAGACTGTTCCAGTCAGTGCTGCCTGAAAGACCCAGCGGGGTGCTGGCCCTGCGTCCCCAGAGCTCACTCAGCACCAGCCCCAAGACACTCAGCACCTCATGACCCCGGGGTGTCCCTAGGACGAGCCCTTATTAAAAAGCCAATTATGACAGAGTTGGTGAAATAAAGGTTTATATCTCTAACACCACATGGTGCCGGCGGAGCCTTGGTGGCACAGTGATTAAAACCTCTGGTGGTGAACCAGAAGGTGAGCCGTTTGAACCCACTCTCTGCTCCAGAGGAGAAAGGACAGCTTGCTTTAGTCAAAATGTGTTGTTAGGTGATGGTGAGTCGCCTCCGACTTAGAGCAGCCCTGTGTCCACACAGACAAAACGCTGACCTGCGCTGTCCTTGGGGTCACTGCTGGGCTTGGGGCATGAGTCAACCTCCTGCCACCCTCGCTTCTGAGGAGCTGCATGTCCTCAGGGTTGGGTCGGAAACCCCACAGAGCAGTTCCCCTCTGTCATGCCAGGAGGTGGGACAAGCTCGGTGGCCACAGGTCAGGTTTTTATTTGAGGGCATTAAAGTTCCAATTATGCACATGTGTCCTGGGTGTTAGAACAGACAGATATGTCAGAGAGGGTGCAGCCAGGGCTTCTTGGTGGCGAAGATGATGCAGCTTTGTCTCACAGTCTTTGGGCACGTTGTTAGGAGAGGTTATTCCTTGGAGAGGGACATCATGCTTGGAAGGGGAGGGGGATAGCGGAACAGAGGAAGACCCTCAGGCAGGTGAGTGGACACAGTGACTGCAGCAATGGGCTCACATGTGTCCGAGATTGTGAGGACGACGCAGGACAGAACAGGGTTCACATCTCTTGTTCATTGGGTTACTATGGGTCATACTTGACTCACTGGCATCTGACAAGTCTTTTGTCTAAATGATGAAACAATAGACAGCCTTCAGTTTGTGCAAAACAAACACACCAACTCCAAGATCTGTGTTCTGCAGAAGAAGGGTTGGTATGGAAAACAAGAATTTGATACCAGCCAGAGTAGCATTCATGGTGTTAAATCCCCATTTGGGGCTGGTTCCTGGGGTCTTTATTGTGAAGTTGCTTCCAGTTTCCAGAAGGAAAGGTGCTGGTGCAGACTAGAATACTTGGAGCGCTGGTGGCATAGTGAGTTACCCGAAGGTCGGTGGTTCAAACCCATCTACGGCTCCGTGGGTGAAAGTTGTTCTAATCTGCGCCGGTTAAAGGTAGACAGCTTGGAAGCCCTGTGGGGTGGTTCTGCTTCATCCCACAGGGTCACTGAGTTGCACCCCACCCAGTGGCTGTAGGTGGGGTGCATACTCAAAAGTTAGGCCTGGCTGTCTCCAAACCAAGAGAGGATTAACACTAACTCCCAGGCTGTTGTTTGACTCCGTGAGTCCAGAGATGTTTACACTTGCATTCAGTGACAAGCTCCTGGGGGCACAGGCAGTTCATGCACTCTGTTAACTAAAAAGATCTGAGATTTTGCACTACCATCCCAGAGGTGAGTGGTTCAAATCCACCAAATGCTCTGCTGGAGAAGGAGGGACAGACAATCTCCTCTTGTACCAGTCAGATCTGATTTGACGGTACACACATAAAAAAAATAATAAAAATTTTAAAAAAGATCAGAAGTTCAGGACTACCCACTGGCTCCACAAAAGAATGGCCTCACACCAAAAATATCAGCACTGAAAACCTCTAGAAAGAGCACAGTGCCATCTGAGCCACCTCAGTGACTGCGTGTGGACTTTCCTGATGGCTTTGTTGCATGGATTTTGACTCACAGTGTCCTATGTGACAGAGTTTAGAGGCCTGGCCTGTAGGGTTTCTGACTCTGTAATATTCATAGCCTATTTCCAAGACTGTCTCTGGAAGAGCTGCTGGGTGAGTTTGAACCACCAGGCTTTCAGGTAGCAGCCAACAGCCTAGCCCTTGCACCACGAGGTTTGTTGCTAACCTGCGTGATCACCCTCTCTGCTGTTTTCTTTGAGGTATGGTGTGGCAGTCCAGGACTTTGCCGGCAGCTGGAGGAGTGGGCTGGCTTTCCTGGCTGTGATAAAAGCCGTTGACCCCAGCCTGGTGGACATGAAGCAGGCGCTAGAAGATTCTGCACGGGAGAATCTGGAGAAGGCCTTCAGCGTTGCACACGATGCCCTTCACATACCCAGGCTCCTGGAGCCAGAAGGTAGCCACGGTGCTCATGTGCAAACACGCCTGCGCGCTCTCTCTCTGTCTCTGTCTATCTGTCTCTGTCTCTTTGTCTCTCTCTGTCTCTGTGTCTCTCTGTCTCTGTCTCTTTCTGTCTCTCACTCTCATCTCTGTGTCTCTCTCTGTCTCTGTCTCTCTGTGTGTCTCTCTTTTTCTTTGTCTCTCTCTCGCTGTCACTCTCTCCCTCCCTCCCTCTCTCTCTTTGTTCCATACCATCAACACACCTGACCCTGCAGGGAGTTTTTCAGAGGCTGTAAATCACACGAGAGGAGCTTGCTTGACTTTCCTCTGAGAAGCAGCTGGTAGATTTGAATAACCCACCTTTGGGTTGACACCAGAGCTTTCGACGAAATATGTCACTGTAGGATGGAGCCCACAGCAAGGAATAAGGGATGCAGTCTTGAGAAACGAGGCCCTGAATTCTGCATGGTCCCTGGGTGGAGCCAATAGCTTTCAATCAGCTAGTAACCAAAAGGTTGGCAGTTCGAATTCACCCAGTGATATAGGGGAAGCAAGGCCTGGTGATCTGCTTCCCTAAAGATAACAGCCAATGATAAGTTCAGAGGTCACCATGGATCAGAGCTGGGTTTATGGGCTGTCTTCTGCATCTGCCTCTCCTCTCCCAGCCGGCTGGAGACTTTCCTTCATATGATTCCTCAGGTGTGAAATGGAAAAGGGGGGCGGGGAATCCAGCCCTACGTGACTGGCAGGCCCTTCAAGGAAAGCTGCGTGTCCTGCTGACTTGACTCCTGTCTCCCTCTCAGACATCATGGTTGACGTGCCGGACGAGCAGTCCATCGTGACCTACGTGGCGCAGTTTCTGGAACGTTTTCCGGAGTTGGAAGCTGTACGTTTTCTTTTCTTATGTCTCACTGGGAATCTGTCTGCTTCTGTTCGTCTGTCCTTAGATGCAGCTGGGGCTGGGACTGTTGTGTGTTGTGTGTGGCTGGTTGTGAGAATCCAGCCCCAGGAGGATGGCCCTGCCACGCTGCGCTTGTTCTGCCCAAAACTGTTAAAACCATTTTTGTTGGTCACGGTTTAAAGCACGACAGTGAGTTCAGTGGTGACACCTTTTGCACAAACCCGTTCCTGCTCTGCATTTCTCCCGAAAGATCACAGATGCTCCCTCGTCACGCAGATTGGCTGGCTGATTTTCAGAGATCAGACAGGCCATGTTAGCCGCCTACCAGATTTTATCTGCTTGTTAAAGAAAATGACACAAGATGAAAAAGCAGCCAAAAACACACTTTGTTTGCAGAAGCCCAGAGAATATTTGGTGGCAGATTAGGGTGAGAGTGACCAAATCAGACCTTTTAAAAGTTGGCATGATCTCAGTTGCCACCTGATCCAAGCACAGCATTTTGATGATGATAATCATGACGGGGACAAACCTGTCTATGAATTCATTAGCGGTTTACGAACACCTGCTGTTGGCTCAGGGACTCAGCAGTGCACGAGGCAGGTTAGGCCTAGCGAAAACAGTTAACATGTCAGCAGTTTATCATTTCAGGTGGTTCTGATAAGGACTAGAGACAAAACAATGAGCTTAAAGAGTTAAAGAGCCCCCAGTGCCCAAGACTGTGAGCCTTCACATCCTTCAATTCTGGAGCTCGTCCCACCACCCAGCATCCCTTTCCAGTCAAATAATTGTCAGGCCTGTCAAGTGAAGCATGCCCCCCCCCCAGGAGTGGGAATGTCCTCAGTAGAGTTAGCCCCAGGAGACAGAAAGGGTGGGATTTTCCCAAAAGCAAAATTCAGGAGGCGGGAAAGAAGGACAAATGGAAAAAGCTAAAAAGAAAAAGGAAGAGTGTGTTACCTTGAGAGGATTATAATCCAGGTCACAGGACAGAGTGCAGGTGAGTTGGTGAATGTGCAGCCAACGTGATCTGTAAACTTTCACCCAGACGATACTAGTAGCCAATAAGGAGCACCCAGTGTGGGGAGGTGCTCCCAGCTAACAGTGGCCCGTGATTGTCTCCTAATCCTGAGTTTCTTAGGGACACAGGAGCATTTTATAGACAACAGTGTAGACATTCAGCCTGAATGACCTCTTAGGGTCACACAGTGACCAAGCCCCGAATAGGACTTGACCCCCAGGTTGCTGTGGGTCCAAGTTCAAGCACTTGGGTCCTTTCTTGGGCATCACTCACCTGCAGAGTTGACAGTTTGCTCGCCCAGAAAGGCCCTTTCAACATCTCTTTTTTTAATTATTAT